GTAGTCTCATTAATAATATTATTGACAATCACCGATTGAAAGAATCAATAATGCCGTTAGCAATTATCGGCCTACTTCGATCCCTCTTCGAATCCATGATAATTTTTGTTGTTTTTTACTTATTTAATTTTTTTTAATAAGAATATTTTGTTGTTGAATTAACTTTTGGGGAATTAGGCCTAATATATGTAAGAAAAATGAATGTGATAAATAAAGAACATACGCCACAAAACCGCTTTACGAGCTCGTCCTTGAGCTTTACTTATCAAACTCAACTCAGCTTGTTTGGCTGAAATTTGAGCTTGGCTCGATCTATGAACTCTTGGTAGAACGAGCCAACTTAGCCCGTCGAGAAGGCAAGTGACCCATGCCTACCGCCACCCTTAAGGATAAGGTTATCGATGCAATTTTATTTGATGCTTGAGCATATATGCTTATTGGAAAATAAATAAACCCCTGTTTGATTTCATTTATTTTGATTTATTTTTCATATTCATTTTCAACCACATATTCACACAATAAAATATTCTATACGTAAGCTCAAATTTTTTTCTACTTTTGAACAATACATTCTCAAAAAAATACTATTCAAAACATAATTTTTTTTGAAATAAAGGCCACCGAACACGGGCTAAGTACTTCGGGCCTTTCGCACATAAACTAATTATTTTAACAAAAAAACAAGGGATTTAGTAGGAATGAAAATGGGGAGAGTATGGGACGGATCGACGATTCTCGTCCCCCACTCCGTTGAGTACTTTTTGTTACATTGTCCCCTCTTATACCCGATTAAAGCGGGATGGTGTGGGGGTGGGACATGTCCTCACCCCGTTTATAGTCCTGTTTATTTTTTGCTGTTATTTTTTTGATATATCTTTAGTTAGTGAATATTGTTATTATTTTTTTTCAATGTGTTAAAAACAACTTACATTTTCTTTAAAAATGATGATAAATCATTTATTTTTATTTGATAAAAAATTTAATTTTGAAATTATTTTTAAACGAGACGGCTAGCGGGGTTGGGACCATGTTTCTCGTACCTGTCCTGTACCCGTTCGCCCCGTTTATCTGATTAGGAGGGTTAGGTTGAACGA